AAACTAATCAAGGAGAGACCTTAGAACTGAGGAGAAATTTCTTAATAGTTAGAACAATTAATTAGTAGAACAGCTTGCCTCCAGAAGTTGTGAATGCCCCAACACTGGAAGTCTTTAAGAAGATGTTGGATAGCCATTTGTCTGAAATGGTATAGGGTTTCCTGCCTAAGCAGGGGGTTGGACTAGAAGACCCCCAAGGTCCCTTCCAACTCTGTTATTGTATTGTATTGTATTATTCTATGGTATTCTATTCTATTCTATTCTATATTCTATTCTGTATTCTATTCTATTTTCTATTCTATTTTCTATTCTATTCTGTATTCTATTCTATATTCTATTCTATTCTCTATTCTGTATCCATATTCTATTCTATTCATTTTGTTCAGGGAAAGGCTGTTGGGGAGGTTATGGGTGAATTAAACCTTCTAAATTTATAGCAGGGTAATGAGGCAGATCAAACATAAATATTTATTCTACAGGCAACAATATTTGCTATTGTGAAACAGATCTTGTGGTGGTGTGTTTTTTTTTATTTACATTGTTAATCAATCCAAAAACAATTAAACTAACCTCATCATGGAAAAGGGTCAGAGTGTTAATTAACTTGAAATTCATTTTGGGTAGCTTGAGACAAGGCAGAAATTGCTGCTTCTAATGTCTAAGTTACTGTGACAACCCGGATTTTCACAGATTAGCAACATTTCCTGCATTCTCACCAAGTTTACGACTGACTTAAATTTTGCAATGCACTTTGATTCAACCTTTTTTTTCCCCCTCTTGTCTGCCAGATAAAAATTACATTTCGGTGCTGCTTTAACCCCAGGAATTTGTTTTTATTAGTTTTTTTTTGTGTGATGCAGCTCTAAACAGAAATGTAAGTCGCATAAACAGAGTCTCTGTGAGCCTGCCAGTATATCTACATTTAAATTTTCATCATCAGAAACAGATCATAAATTTGCCTTTGAAACCAGAAAGTATTAAGATTCATTGGCCAGCACAAAATACTATCTATTCTTTTCACCCAAAGTAAGCTATTTCTTTTAAGGATGGAGAAAACCTATGCAAACTCTATTGGTGTTTGAATGTTGGATGGATTTCAGTCAAAAACCAATCCTTTTGAATCCCAAGAGCGTAAAACGTACATATTGGCTTTAAAGTAATGCTGCATTCCTTGTTGTTCCCATTGTGCATTTGTTATTTTGCTTGCCTTCTCTTCTCTATTCTCTTTTGGCAGAGAATAAGTAAGGAAATAAGTAAAATTCCGTTGCATTCAATTCTCAGCTAGAGCAATTGCTTTTAGATGTGCTGCTTTAAGGGAGAAAACTCTCAAAGCTCTGGGAATCATATCATTTCTCTACGTTGTCTTTGATAACGAGGAGAATATCTTGCCTCTTTGAGTGGTGGCTGCTTGGTGTCTGGAAATTTTCAAGAAGGGATTGGATAGCCACTTGTCCACGATGCTACAGTTCTACAGATGCTGTAAGATAGCCAGAGGATGAGGTAGAACATAGAATCATAGGACCCCAGAGGTAGATACTGTGAAAATATCTACAGACCCCTCACATCCTGGACCCAAACTGTTTCAACTTCTACCCTGAAAACGATGCTATAGAGCACTGCACACCAGAACAACTAGACACAAGGACAGTTTTTTCCCTGAATGCCATCACTCTGCTAAACAACTAATTCCCACAACACTGTCAAACTATTTATTAAGACTGTATTACTATTATTTTCTCATCCATCCTAGTACCTATCTCTCCCCACTTATGATTATAACCATGCTGCTTGTTTTTTACAATGTATGTTGTTTTGTTTTCTAGTATAATATGATTGCTTATTAGTAACCTATGACTATCACTAAGTGTTGTTATCTTATGATTCATGATGAATGTATTCTATTTTATTTTTCTTTATGTACACTGAGAGCATATGCACTAAAGACAAATTCTCTGTGTGTCCAATCACACTTGGCCAATAAAGAACTCTGCTCTTTTCTGCTCTGCGCTGCTCTATTCCATTCCACTCCACTCCACTCTACTCTATTTCTACTTTATTCTATTCCACTCCACTCTATTTCTATTCTATTCCATTCCATTCCATGTTCTGTTCTTCTATTCTATTCTATTCTATTCCATTCCATTCTATATTCTGTTCTGTTCTGTTTTGTTCTATTATATTTTATTCCTCCTACAGGATGTTGAGAACCAGCTCAAAAAGGCATAAGATGGGGTGATTTGCTATACTTTGTAAAACAATGGGTCAAATTGGCCTCTGGTCATGCTGCCCGCATTTTCTCTGAATCATGAATGAAGCATGAACAAGTCTCCAACAAACATCTGGGATTCCAGTACAAGAATTCCACATNCAGTGGAACAACTTGCCTCCAGAAGTTGTGAATGCCCCAACACTGGGAGTCTTTAAGAAGATGTTGGATAGCCATTTGTCTGAAGTGGTGTAGGGCTTCCTGCCTAAGCAGGGGGTTGGACTAGAAGACCTTCAAGGTTCCTTCCAACTCTGCTATTCTATTCTATTCTATTTTACTTTACTCTATTCTATTTTCTATTCATTTCATCCTATTCTATTCCATAATTTCCTGACAGTTAGAACAATTAATCAGTGGAACAGCTTGCCTCCAGAAGCTGTGAATGCCACAACACTGGAAGTCTTTAAGAAGATGTTAGATAGCCATTTGTCTGAAACGGTATAGGGTTTCCTGACCAGGCAGGGGGTTGGACTAGAAGACCTCCAAGGTCCCTTCCAACTCCACTATTGTATTGTATTGTATTCCTTATTCTATTCTATATTCTATTCTATTCTTATTGTTTTTGTCTCTATTCTATTCTAGTCTAGTCTAGTCTATAAGGATGTGTCCACCTAGTCACTAGGAGACAACCTTATTCAAACTTGTCTTGACTTTCATCATTGTATTGTTGAAATACGTTGATAGAACCACATTGTCTGCAGTTGAGTCAACACAGTTTACAAAGCCAGACTCAATATAGCTTTGTGTATGGGGCAAACCCCTTTGTAGTTTGTTCAGTCACGTATTGTTAAGCCCATTGTGGCTTGTGTGGATGGAATCCTGACCCAAGGAAAGCCCAAAGATTGTCTAACTTACTTCTGTTGGGAAACACATGATGGGAATCAGCATCGCTTCCCTCCAGATTTTTGGTTCCTCTGATTTTTTTCATTCCTCTTTAAAACTTTCTGCAAATCTCAGGATTTGTCTAAGACAGACAGACAAACAGTCAAAGCTGGCCATGGAAAGTCTCCAGAGACTTCCTGTGAATGTGTTTCCAATGAATGAGAAGGTCCCTTTGAATCCATTTCAAACTTATCCCTTTTTCCACATCAATCGCCAGCAAAACAGCCTCACGGAAGCAAGATAGGTGTCAGGTTCTAATGGATGCCCGAATTAAATCATGAGGCTCGAGCCAAGCTTCAAAATAAATCCAGTTATTTATTAGGAGCAATATGTTGGCCAGCTCTTCCCTCACGTAATTTATAGCCCAACTATGACCCTGTTTTCCCCTTCCTCCCAGGATGTGCCATAAATCACATTCTCCAATGGAGCACTTTTGAGGGCTGTAGAGATTATGCCCCTCTGGCTGTTGCAGGTATCCTGATATACAGCCTTGAGAAAGGTATGTGTGGGATGTGCTTCTGTTTGTGGCTGCTGGGCTGCTCTTTCAGTTTTCCCCCCTCCTGCCTATGACAACTCGAGAGCAGGCCAGGGATGCTTTGCGAGTTGACATTAGATCTGATAGCTCTATGGAAACTGAGGAAGGCCATAATCAGAGCTGGGAGAGGAATCAATCCCCTCTCATTTTCATTCAGCCCTTGAGTCAGAACACCTGGCATTAAGAACTCCTTCTGTGATAATTTCAGTACTCCAGTTTTACATGGAATAGATTATTGATTGATAAGGTATGAGACAGAGAGAGAGACAGAGNTGGGAGCTTCATCCCTGGAAGCTTTCAAGAAGATACTGGACTGCCATTTGTCAGAAATGGTGTAGGGTCTCCTGCTTGGGCAGGGAGTTGGACTAGATGACCTACAAGGTACCTTCCAACTCTGTTAATCTGTTATTATTCTATTATTCAGAAGTTGTGGGAGCTTCATCCCTGGAAGCTTTCAAGAAGAGACTGTACTGCCATCTGTCAGAAATGGTGCAGGACCTCCTTGTGTGGGGGTTGGACTAGATGACCTACAAGGTCCCTTCCAACTCTGTTAATCTGTTAATATCTGTTCAAATGCTCTTCTAGAACTGCACTAAGGCTGTTTATGGCACCACAACATTGTACAAGAAAAGCAATTAAAAGCCCAAAGAAACTTCAAGGTAATTAAGTCCCGCCCGAAGGGTGCCAGGAAGCCATTTGACCTGTCTTAGTGATGCATGGCTAACGAGGATTTTAAATGATGAGGCATCCTAGAGAGCAGTAACTAAAGATGATGAGATTGAGGAGACGCTTGACAGTGATAGAAGAGGGTCTGTCTTTGTTATTATTAGCTTTAGCCTCCTCCTCACCTGAAGAAAGAAGGGATCTTTGTTCAACAAAAATCCTAAACAGTAACACTTGAGAGTAACAACTCTCTGTTGCACAGAGTCCAAAAAAATGGGTTCTTATGCTACTATTAGCCCTGCAAGGTAGACTAGACAAGAAGCCCAACCAGAGGACTAGCTCTTAACTTTATGGTAGGTCTACATCATGGATGTCCATGGGACGGATCCAGCCCGCGTGGTGCTTAGATCTGGCCCACCAGGCCACCTTAGAAACAGCAAAGGACCAGCCCATGGTGCCTCTGCTAGTGAAAACGGAGCCTGTGTGGCCCCCCCTGAGCTCCGTTTAGCCAGCAGAGGACTAGCAAAACAAAACAAAACCAAAGGAGAAACGTTTCCCCTCTTGCATTGGAGCATGGAAGAAGGGAAAGGAAAGGAGAAAGGGAAAGAGGAAAGAAAAAGGAGGAAAGATGGGAAGAGAGGAAGGAAGGAAAAATAAGGAAAGAGNTGCGATTATTGTTTAATGTTGTATGGCTCCAGCTATGCACAGTATATATGTGAGTGTATGAAAATGAAAAAATGGAAAATAAAAACCTTTTTCAAGTAAAAAAGAATTCCGCATCTGAAGGCACCTGCTAGTCAACACCATCCACGGTGACAAAAGTACAGTCAAGTCACAGAATCTTGGTGAACTGAAGCTCAAAGCCAACTTCAAAGTAAACAGCGGTCACTAAGGATGCTCTGTGCATGCCTGGTTTAAGTCTTACACAACAGATGTTTCCAAAGGTGGGATATGGAGAGGCCATTGTTACAAACCACAAAAGGAAAGCCATGTCGAATACGTCAGTTCAAGACAAAGCAGACCGACACATCGATTAAAAGTTGCTCTTCTCCCCAACTCGGACACAGGCCCCCACACACAGTCATGCAGACACGCACGCCGAGTCTTAATGAGAAGAGACACCTCTGGCTGCACACAAGCACACACGCACACCCAGGCGTTCTTACCAGTTCTCGGTGTGGGGATCAATGCGCTCGCACACAATGGTAGCAGTCGTCTGCGTCCGTCCATTGTCAACATCTTGTTGAACTTGCCACCGGTGTGGATCGATGACGCGAATGTCGATGATCTTCACACCTGGGGCAGCCTTAACTCTGCCGGGAAAGCAAGAGAGATGGGTTTTACTCCTGAACAATTAAGGCAAAGAAGAAAGAGAGCAACATTTCCAAGCGTTAACAGATCTTTGTGTCCTGAAGGCCCCAGACCAAGAGCTGGATGGAGCTTTGGCGTGTCCCTCATATGTGGGAGAACATGGGACAATTTGTCCAAAGAAAATGAGGCCCTTCTCCCAAGCTTCTCCTAAGGTCCTTCCCTTTCACCTGGAGGCTCAGTTGTGAGCTCCTGTTCTACAGCAAGGCTGTATATTTCCAGCTCACCTTGTCCTAAATTTCCCTTTGCAAAGCATTTATTTGGATATTCTTAAAGTCGATGCAAACATGAATGAAGGATGAACTTCCCTTTTTTTCATCCTACCCTTTAAACCCAATGACTCTTTCAAGGGCAGCAGAGAACAGCTCAAATGGGACCATGAGATCCTCACTCAAGCAGGAGCAAAATCCTCAGCCTCTCCCCACCCATTTTTTTCAAGGGTTGTGGGGTGGGGGGGAAGATTAGAAGGATTTTAAAGGTCAAAAGGGATGCATCAACTGCCCTGGAGGCTTAAGACCTTCATTGTCCCTCGGATGGGGGGGAAATGGGTTAAAAATTGGTGGGTTTGCAACTAATTTTCCATGTTCACAAGCAGTCACAATGTCCCAATTTATTAAGAGAGACATATTGGTATATCTGTGGAAATCCGAATCTGAAAACTTCCTGGGGTTTCTGGAGGATAGCTGGAAGATTATGATACTGGCCAGAAAGACTCTTTTAGTCTACACGTTCAAAAACGCCTTAGATCCCAAACTGAGAGAAGCTTGCTGTATAAAGGGGCGGGGGGGTCCCAGAACGTATCCAAGATTGGAATGCCACTGCAATCATACTAGGACACACAGTGCGTCAGCGTTCCAAGTAATCATCATCATCATCATTTAATGATCCCATAATCCCTTGCAGGGTAGAGTCTGGGTAATTGAATGGATCTGAGTGTTTATTGGCTGGATGCCCTTCCCTATTGCCAATGTGGAGTTATATTCAGCAGATATATCCTCATTGTACCCAGAGAGAGAAATACCTGCCTCTACCTAGGATCGAACTCACAACCTCCTGATTGTGAGGCAAGAGCTCCACCTCTGCGTCACCACACCACTCTGCTCAGGGTTCCAAGTAATGCACCCATAGAAATCAGAATTCTGAGGCAGGCAAATTCCTCAAAGAACAGTTTACTGGATACATCCTATTGGCACAACTGGTGAAAGCCGACTCTGAAGGTTCCTGGGGATTTCACTTAATTAAAAAGTAAAAGTTTCCCCTTTCACCCCAGGTCACTGGTCACACTGTCCAATCCAGTTGCTGGCCGGTTGCTTGGTTACTTGACTCCTCCTCTGGCCAGCCACCAGAGAATGTCCTTGGTTCCTAAGAGAAAACTTTTATTGTTTTGGCTACAAAACTGCATCTAACTATTTTCACCCCCCCTCCCTCCCTCTGTTGTGTGGCAACCTTGAAGCCTCCAAGATGAGTCAGTTGGGTTTATTTTCTTCACCTACTTCTCCACCAGTCTGTTTGTTCAAAACATTTGGTCCTGTGGGTTTTTTATTATTATCATTATTATTTTCCTCCTGCTATTTATGTTGACATAGTAAGGATGTAATAGCTTATCGAAGCTCCGCAGTCCAGGAAAACTAGCGTAACCTGGGACCAGGAAAGCAACAAGCATCAGACAACATTTTTAGGAAAGCGAACAAGCAGAAACACTGTTAACAACTGTCATGCTTCACTTATCAACCTTACTGGAGCTCCGGGTAGGAAATTAAATTCTAGAAAAACATCTACTCGGGCTGGGCAGGTGAAGGGTATGTACCTGAAGGTGTTGTTGCATGCCAATGGAGCTGGCAGCAGATTCGGACAGTGGGGAGGTTGGGGAGGAACCTGGGCCAGTCCTGGAGTCTGGGGAAGGCTCTGATGAGGGCTCTGTGTAGGAGGCAAAGAGGGGGCCAGAGCCATATGCCAGTTATCATCTGCCTTTAGAGTCAGACATCAGTGAGGCAGAAAAACCTGTTCCCAGTGTGTGCACNTCCGTCCTTCCTTTCTTCCTCTCTTCCTTTCTTCCTTTCTTCCTTTCTTCCTTTCTTCCTTTCTTCCTTTCTTCCTTTCTTCCTGCCTGCCTGCCTGCCTGCCTGCCTGCCTGCCTGCCTGCCTGCCTGCCTGCCATGGTGCACAATGGTTAGAAAGCAGCATTGCAGCTAACTCTGCTGACTGCCAGCAGTTCGAATCTCACCAGGTTAAGGCTGACTCAGCCTTCCCTCCTTCCAAGGTTGGTAAAATGAGGACCCAGATTGTTGGGGGCAAAAGGCTGACTCTGTAAACCGCTTAGGGAGGTCTAGAAAGCACTGTGAAGTGGTATATAAATCTAAGGGCTATTGCTATATAACAAAATAAACATGCAATGTCTCCCAAGATCAGACAAGAACAAGACCACTCTGGCTCTTGCTTTTGTTCCTCGAACATCAGGTATGGTTGGCTGGGCCACCCCACGTGCGAAACAATAGTTTGCAAACCCCAATATCTGGCTTTGCCCAGCCTGCTGTTACAAATCGAAGCTACAAAGTCCAGCTTCCAGATAGCCAAGCTAAGAATCCTAGGTTTAAATGGGTCCATAAATTGCAGCCCTCGTGAAGGGACTTGTGCGCAATGGGGATTTTAAAAAAAAAAAAGCCAGCCGTGTCTGCTCATTAACGAAGATTTATCATTCCTACGCTTGCAAGCGCAACTCCATTCTGACATCCAACCGACGAACCAATATCCATCCAGCTCGCAAGTTATTTTGAATTTTAACAAAGGAATCGCCCCTCTAATCCCCTTTATGCTCAGCGCGGCTTATTAGAAAACGGCCCTCTGATAGCTCCCCGTCACATTCTCATCTGTAAAATTGCCTATTCTCTCTTGCTCTGCCCCCTAAATGGTCTGTGGGAACAAAAGGTTTCCATTTTGCCATAACAGCAAGCTTTTATGTACTTTAAGTTGCTGGGCAACAGTCCGTTTTGCCACCCACAGGTATTTGCCTTCAGATGGGCTGAGAAGCAAAACAGAGACAAAGGAAAGGAATAATAAAGCAATTTGCACGGGTTCCTTAAGGGGCTATTAACATTCACAGCCCCCCCCCCCCACATCCTGCCTTTAACGATTCTAAGCTCTTTCAAAGCCCACTTAACTCTTATCCAGAGCTTCCCTTAACTCAGGTTCAATCAATAAGAATAGAGCTGGAAGGGACCTTGGAGGTCTTCTAGTCCAGCCCCCCTGTTCAAGCAGGAGAGCCTAGACCAGTGGTTCTCAACTTGTTGTTCGGGACTCCTTTTGGGGTCAAATGACCCTTTTACAGGGGTCGCCAAAGACGATTGGAAAACACATATTTTTGAAAAAATATGGAAAACATAAAATAATCTTATGGTTGGGGGTCACCACAACATGAGGAACTGTATTACAGGGTCGCGGCATTAGAAAGGTTGAGACCCACTGGCCTAGACCATTTCAATCAATCAATCTGAATAGAGCTGGAAGGAACCTTGAAGGTCTTCTAGTCCAGCCTTCCTGCTCAAGCAGGAGATCCTGTACCATTTCAGGCAAATGGATGTCCAGTCTCTTCTTGAAATCCTCCAGCGATGGAGCGCCCACAACTTCCGGTGGCAAGCTGTTGCACTGGTTAATTGTCCTCACTGTTAGGAAGTTTCTCCTCAATTCCAGGTTGCTTCTCTCCTTGATTAGCTTCCATGCATTGTTTTTTGTCCTGCCCTCTGGTGCTTTGGA